TGTTATCGTAAAGTATCCACTTTTCATCACAAGTAACATTCTGGACAGAAAAGGTCATCTTTTAAATGCTGGTTTTTTTGGTGTTTGCTTAATGTGCACTCATTAATGCTGCTCTTGCCCCAGACTTGATTGATGTGTATGGCAATCTGGCCAAGTTTAAACTCGTAAAAAAAAAATTATATGAAAATCACGTGTTGACATCTTGGTAAGGACTGAATTATTTCTAAGCAGCGAAATGCTACAGAACGTAAACAAACATTATCATTTTGAAGAGGATTAATAAGTGTAGACATTCATACAAATGAATAATCCAGTAAACGTAAACAATTTGTTATATAGAGGGGTATTTTAAAGAAAACTCAAAATTCTGTATTCTTTTTTCCGGACAACCCAATAGAATTTTATAGTAAGATATCTCAGGTATTTTTAGTATATATTTAGTATATTTAGTTATGAAACGAATGTTTATTTATGAAAACGATGCTATGAAATAAAGAAACAAGGAAATCTGTTGAAAAACAACTGAGTTAAAGAATTATGTCCAAAAAATTCGAGTTTGGGACCACTGTGCGTTGCGGCCTCTTGATGCGGCGAAGACTCCTACCGGTTCGTAGGGCCTGTAATGATGAAAATTTGATTTTGAGTTTGATTGAGCCTCTAAAACTGGCATTCGTGATGAATTTCCAATTTGTCAATATTTAAATCAGAATAATGAGTTCAATACTTAGTATCATAGCTGGAAGTTTGAAGTTAATGAAAAAATAAATTAACAAAACAAAAAAAAAAAATAGGAACGGTCACTTTGAACCCACTATTTTTACAGCAGCTAAGATTTTTAATACCATATGAAATAAATATCACTAATAGCATTCAATAGAGAGGCCATTTTCTCTATAAAGCAGAACTGAACATCTTAAAGGAGTAACTAATTCCAGATGGTTGAATTGCTTCAGCCTAAAATTGCTGAGGATAAAACTAGGAAGACCTTTGTTTTTTAAATAAACTTACTATATTAAAAATAACTTATGAATGAATGTCTTCAAAACAATCAGATATAGCTATAACAAAGAATTGAAGATTTAAAATAATATAAAATTAATTTACATCAATTGTGCATTACAATGAAAAAAAATCTAGTGTGGAGCATCACACAACTGTCACTTTCACAATAGTTTCTATAGAAATTAATTTTTTGTTTAAGTTAATAAACCTTAAAAATTTTTACTTTAATTATAAATTCAAACTCACATCAATAAATATAAATTATGATAATTCTGAGCATCATATACCATTTATTTGTCAAGCTGAAAACAAATTTGAAAGTTTCTCATTTATTTTCCATGGAAATTCTGTTTAGTTTCTATGAAAATATTTATTTCCCATTCAATAATACAAAAATTAAAAGTCATTAGCTTTTTGCCAATCTCCATTTCCTTCTATGACTTTATGAGTTATTTATTAATTTTTCTAAAATCTTTAGGTTTCTAATGGTACATGACATATTTATATTACTACTCTGAAAATCTGTTTCCAGTCTGTGGAAATATTTCTATTATTTTCTTCTTTAGTTAACTAACAAGTTCTTTCACAGTTCATATTTACCAATTTTGTATAACTATTAACAATGAGATATCATTAATTATTTCTAATAAATAAACAAAATTAAATGTACTTTAGAGAAAGAAATTTTGAAAATTCAGCATTTAAGCTCTGTCAGACGATCTCAATGAGGATAATACCAAACTGATACAAAAAAACTGTTTAAGTATATATTGATATAAGGAGTATAATCAAAATCATTAAAGCTGTTTTTGAGAAAATTATAAAAAAATGTAAACTTAATTAAATAAAGAGGAACGTCTGCTAAGTAGTTTTCAGTGAAAAAAATTTGGTGTAACATCCTAGGCATATACCTACCTTAAATACCTAATTTCAATTTCATACATCTTTTCATTTTTGAGCTATTCAGTTCATATACACAGAGACACATACACACACACTCTCACACCATGCACAAACACAGAATTTTTTGCAAGGCTTGGTTATTTGGACTCAGAAGATCTATAATTTCTGTTAAAAGCTCAGATTCAAATTTTTTCATTATTGCAATACTATCCCTTACTATATATTTCATATATGTTTAAATAAAAATAAAATATCTACATTACTCAGAATTAGTAGAGTATTAATAGAGTAATACACATTAACTTATTAGGATTACTGTAGAATAGGAAATGAAAACTAAAATAATTTTACCGATTATATCAATTTAATATGAGCATTAAAAATAAAGAAATAATAAAACATAATAAATATACCAAAAATTCTAGATACCTCCTAATATAAACATATTTGTGTGTGTGTATGAATTTGACATTTATATTAAGAAAAATCCTTTCTATTTTTTGAACAATTAGAAATGACAAAATTTTCTTTTTTTTTTATCTCTCAGACATAAAACTCTTTAATTATAAAGGGTGATAAAATTTGATTTTCCTAACTTTAATATTTAAAATTGGCGCATTTAGCATAAAAATTTGAATCTACACTCATATAAACAGTTAACTCAAGAACTGAAGTCCAGAGACCATGGAAAGCAAAGAATTTATGCTGATTGAGTATTACAGCAGCAGAAAGTTGATGCTGATTTTTCAAAGAAATTTTTCTTCTCTGATGAAGCTCACTTCCAGAAATCTGGGTATATTAATAAACAAAATTGCCGCATTTGGGGTGAGGAAAATCCTCATGTGAAACACAAGACACCATTGCATGCCCAAAATGTTACTGTGTGGTGCGTATTGTTAGGAGGCATAATTGGGCCTTACTTTTTTGTAAGCGCTATAGGCACATGATAACAGATTATTTTGGGCACGAAATTGAGGATGTGACAATCGTGTGGTTTCAGCAAGCCAGTGCAACATGCAACATATCGTTGGCAACATTAGATGTTTTGCGTGAAAAGTTCAGAGGACACGTTATTTCAAAATACGGTGACATCAACTGACCGCCAAGATCATGCGATATGATGCCATTGGATTTCTTTTTGTGGGGTTTTCTTAAGAGTCGCGTCTATATCAGCAAACTTGCAACGCTGGAGCACCTAAAAACTAACATCCATCAAGTTACAGCCAAGATAATTCCCGAAACTTGCAAAAAAAGTCATCAAAATTACCTTACATGAATCAACTGCTGCAGAATGTCCAGAGGTGGCCATTTTGCTTATATATTTTTTCATATTTAATGAATTATACTAAATATTGGATTAATAAAAATATAGCTAAGATAATATTACATTTTGTGTGTTTTTTAAAATTAAAGTTAGAAAACTCAAATTAGATCACTCTTTATTTCATAACATATTCCTCAATATTAGGTAAATCAACATTATAGCGCCAGAATTGTCTTATAAAAATTTTTTTGAGACTATATAACATACATTTTGCATGGAGAATGTTGGAAATAAATCTGATGTGAATTGAGTCTTCACAACCATAAAAATGTTAATGAACTATGAGAGAGAGAAAATAAAACAATTAATATATAAATAATAGAATTCTAAATGTATTGTACGCATGAGAGTTCATAAATGCAGCAAAATAACCAAATAAAATGGTTTAAAGATGAAGAAAATAAACATAATGTTTATTTCAGATGTACAATCGAAGGTATGGGAAACTGGGGACAAGTTGGTCAGAGAGAATCATTTACTTCACTTTACTTCCACAGTAGCCAACTGAATACTCCACTGAACATTAGCTGATCTGCTCCCCTGCTTCCTTTGTGACTGTCAGTACTGTGATCTGGCAGGAGTAGTATTAATTATTTGATTTTGTTTTATTTCTAGTAATGTTTTTTGAGAGGAATTTAATTGTCATATATTCCACCAACACTGAACAAGGAATAAGTAAGGAGTATATTTAAAGCTCAATAAGTAGGGATACTTTTAGTGTAACAACAGAACTGAACATTGGGTAAGTTTTTCTAAAACTATATCAAAGATCATGATGGGATATTGCAGCACAAAAGTTCTCTAGAGTTTTTTAATACAAAATTAGTTAGTACTCTTAATTGCTAGAGTATTTTGGAACACATCAATATTTAAATTGCAAGCAGCAGGTTTGATATTTTAATCTAGAAAATGAAAAATAACTAATGTGTGGTTAATGTTAATAATATGCAGTGGCTTATACCTTAAACATAGCAGAGGATGGAAGAATGGTAAATTTATATACTTTCTGAATAAAGTTAGATAGTTCATATACAGATTAGGATTGGTAGGATAACAGAATGATGGTCAAGCGTGTTTGAGCATTGTCCGTTTCAGCATTCTCATGCCTAATGACACTGGTTCGAACTCAGCCTGGGAGGGGTTGACTTTTATTTAGCAGCGAACCCATGCAATGAAACTCGACACTCTCACTCGGGTGAGAATAGGTTTGGTTGTACCTCTAGAAAAATCCTCCCCCCCCTCTCGTATGCCCAAAATGGTTGGTAGGCGGTTATCAAATAAAAAAAATAAAATATAGTCCTAAGGAATATCTTGAGTGAAATGTAGCATAGAAAAGGAGAAGCTTATCAGAAACAACAATAGTCTGTAAGTGGTCATATAAGAATGAGCAGAAACAACATAAAGCTCTGTGCTTTATTTAGGTTGTTATTTGAGTATTGAGAAAATAATATATTCAGACTTAATTCTGAAGAAAAAACAAACAAGGGGCAAAAAAGTGAAGCTGGATCTTTCAGATTGTTCTTTTATGCTGAAGGGATAGACAAATAAAAACTATTAATGGTGATAAGCCTCACCATAAAATAAATAAATATAAAAGGACAATTAAAACAAACACAATTATGTAAAGAAAACTAAATTTCAACCCATACTTCATATTAAATTGCTAAAGCATGTATATCTTTGCATAAATAACTATTTATTAACAAAATATTAAAAATATGATCTAAAATGTAGATAATTAATTACAGATAAGTCGGATAGAAAGACATACCTCAGAATCTAATCTCTTAAATTCATCATCCTCTTCATCCACTTCAAAGTAAAGTTCACTTGATGTTATGGAAATCATGCCAGGTGCAACTATGCCAGGTGCTATCAACTTTCCTTTTGTACTCATGTTGACAGGACCTGAAACAAAACACGTACCCTCAATATTTTATCATGAATCAACCGGTTATACCATGTTTTTTTTTTTATAATCAAAAGATTCAGCCATTTAGTTAAATATATACATAAAAATATATATCTGTACATTAACATACCCGGAAGATCTATATCTAGATCTCTGTCATCCGTCAATAGATCACCATCATCTAACAAATCCGTAGATTGAACCTGTTGTGAATAAGATGCTGCTAGCTGTGCATGAAATTCATTTCTCGCCTGCAATAAAGTCAAAAGGTGATTATCAGGCCAGAGAGAATAAATAAATAAAACCAATGAGAAATAAATAGTACACCCTATTCAATAACTCATAAAATATCTACAATATTCTATAACATTTTTTATTTATGTTTGAGAGCAGGATTTAATAAAATTAAAATATGAATAACAATCACTATTTTTTGTCCAAAAACATAGGTCAGGTAGATATAGTATTAATATAAGTAATATAAGTATATGAATGAAAACGTGAAAAGTATCTTTTAAACTTTTCCAAAACTTCATAGGGCTCGAAACCCCAAACCGGCCCAGCATAACCAATCACTGCCCGAGAGACCGAATTACAAACCACTAGTTTACTTGAATAGGGGCATTTTTGTAAGCTATGAAATTATGCCAAGTAGAATTTAGGCCAAATTTTGCATGACTTACTCTTTCAAAAAAGTGTTGTCCCATGACCAACCTGCGATTTTAGTCCCTCTTCCAAATTTTCGTGTAAATCGTTTATGAACAACGCAAATAGCGAAGGACTAAGCAGACAACCCTGTCTTAACCCTACTGATGTTTCGGAAAAGTCAGTTAATCCTTCTTTATGATGTACGGTAGCTTTAGTATTTGTATGTAAGCTTCTTATGATAATCAAAAATTTATGAGACAGCCCAAGATTAACCAACTTAAAACAGAGCCTCCCTATCTATACAATCAAACACCGCTTTAAAATCAATGAAAAATGCATACACTTTAAGATGTTCTTTTGCCAGAGTTAGTTTGACAATACTAAACAAGCTTAAAATGTAGTCTACGGTTGAGTACCCTGGATGAAAACCCGCTTGGAAATCATTTAATATGTCATTTGGGTTCACCCAGTTTATTCCAGGATTTAATGCATTCACCGTCGAACCACTGCTGTTTTGCTAATTTTTTACCTGTTTTTTATGAAACGCACATTCTATAATACATTCTAACAATAGTTCCAGTTTTAGATCTGATTCATTAATCTAATCTAATTTTATGTAATTTAATTTAATTTCTAATTTTGATTCAAAATACAATTCATCCTGCCGTGACCACCACAATCTCTTAAGTTGGAGGGCTTTACAATTCCTAACATTATTTGCATGACTTAAGTCAAAGACCAATTCAATAGGCATATGTTGTTTGTAAATTTTGGGAATAACTATAATTTTTTTTATATATTTCAGAATAGGTCCAGATGCACAACAAATATCAATGACAGAACTACCCCTCCCTGAAATGTATGTGAAATCATTTAATATAACATTTAATATAATTAAATCTAGATCATCACACATTACCAAGAATGATAGACCTCTACTATTTAAAGTTGTGTCTTTAGATTTCCTGTTACAGTTGATTAAACATTTTTCCTGTGATATATTTTTCGGGATAATCTGCCTCTCCGATTTCTTTATAGATGCAGTGGATTGCTTACAAAATATGCGAAGGAATTTGTGTTGCTTAAAGGAAGATATGGATGAAAAGACAGGTTAAAAATTCTAAAAAGAGGTAGCACGTAATAATGAAAGGTTTGCTCAAGGAAGCAGTTTGATAAAAAGGAATATACAAATCAATACATTGAGATCTTGTATTTAGAGAATGGACAGAGGAACTAATAAGAGTGAGGTGAACTTGAGTGTAGGAAGGTTTTTTGGCTTACTTGGCTCATTGCTATTGGAAAGTAGGATAAAGCCACTATAACATGGATATACCAACAAGATTAAATCAGTTTCATTTTGTATATTTTTGTTCAAATATTAAAGCAATCTACTAACCTGTAAAATAGCATCATCTGGAGCACCATGTTCAATAGCTGCTTTAAGTGTAGCCTGAGGATGACTTGAGCCTCTAGGGTTATGTATCAGTCTTTTTCTTCTACGAGCATCATCTTCCCAAGCATCTAACTTCCAAAACTCAGACAGCCTTTTAACAAAAAATTAAAAACATTTTTTCAGACAACAGATTAGGAAAATATACAAGGCTAAATCAACTATAAATAGTAATTATTTTTTATACACTTATTAATTTAAGGTTACACACATTCCATGATTTCAGCATTTCTAATGTAGTCACCCACATGATCTACATCAATTGTCTGGATGCGCGCGCAATCGCCCCAGGGCGTGGACCTGGAAGGATGCCAGTACGGAGGTGCCGACCATAAGGAGTATTAATTAAACAAATTTTACAAAGTTTATGAGAATAATTAATTTTAGGCTATTAGAGATTAACTGAATTAGAGATATAATGAATGAAACAGAATTAAAATATTACTTAATTTAATACAGCTTTAGAAATAAATTAATTTATTAATGCCTAAATGTCTAAGGCCGGCACTGCATATACTGGAGGCTGACATTATTTAGAGAAAGAAATGGATCTTTTTTAGAAAGTTTCTATGAAACTTTAGTTTACGGTAAAAGTTTAACTTATATTTATTTAAGTTCTTTAACAAAAGTTACATTAAATGAGAAATATACAGTAATAGGGCTTTTATTACAGATATGATTTATTGTACTCAATGCATTACATGATTCTTATGTGCCGTAAGTTTGAGAAGCTAGGTTATATAGTGCTCAATTACAGTTTTTTTTTCTTAATGAAAAATGAAAGTGTGTAGATCTTGCAGGATACCACATTGAGGAATGCTGAAGAAATGGTTTAATAATAATAATAAAGATAATTATAAAGAAGAATTAAAGAAGAGAATAAAAATACTACTCAAAAAGTACCTCTCATTTAGTAATTTAATCAAAGCAATAAATACATGGGCTATTCCTGTGTTGACTTATATGCTTGGCATTCTAAAATGGTCTAATACGGAGTTGGAGGAAATGAATCGTTCGGTAAGAGTTCTTTTTACCTCAGCCAAGAAACGACATCCCAAATCTTCAATTGAGAGGATGTACTAACCTTGGAAAAAAGGAGGTAGGGGACTTGTATGCTTATTAAGAAGCTGTAAAGAGCAAGAAAATAATTTAAGGTGCATTTTCCAACTAAGAAACTCTCTTGTATGTTCAGCAACAAAATCGCTGGATAATGCTTACATAGATTTAAACAGTTTCAACGGGACATAAAGAAGTACCTACCGAAGAAAATCTGATCGAAATTTTGAAGAGTAAAGCACTACGTGGTCGCTTTTACAATGCTTTACCTCAATCGGGAATTAACTAGGAGGCCTCTAATAAATGGCTTAAGAAAGGATACATATTTTCCGAAACTGAAAGGTTTATTTCGGAAATACAAAACCACGTAGTATCCACCAATGCTTACAAAAAATATATAAGCGGAGAAGATGTAAGTGACCAATGTAGCCTATATAAAAATTCAATCCAGCATATTTCGTCGGAATGTCAAGTATTGGCAGGTAAAGAATACCTCATGAAACACAATAACCTGGCTAAAATTGTTCACCAAGCCATGGCCTGATTAAATAACATGACAACAGACTAGATTCCTTATTATCGATATGAGCCTAAACAGGTGTTATCAAAAGAAAATAGAATAATATAATAATATTGGGATCGATCTATAATTACAGACCACACGGTAGTAAATAACAAACCGGACATAGTATTAATTGATAGGAAGACAAAAAGTGGCTATGTCATTGAAATCATGGTTCCAACCGATTATAAAATCGGAAAGACTATTTCTGAAAAGATTAGGAAATATCAAGATTTGTGCCAAGAGCTTCAGCAACTTTACAGACTGAATTAACTACAAGTATATCCAATTGTAATTTCCCAGAAGATACCATTCACTCTGTTGAAAATTTGAAACTTCCAAAACGAACATCGTCAGGAAGTTCTTAAACATTGTTTAACTTTTGAGCCTAACCCTTGATCTTGGTCCAGGTAGATGAATATTTCTGGCAAAAGCCAAGAAAGTGCGAAATTTGAAAATAATAACAATGCATTTATTGAAACTAACTTTTTACATATATTGTTATAATATTCTTGGTTTAAAATACCATTATAGGATAAGTCCAACAATATAATAATTAATCGATACATTAACTAGAATGAGAAAATATATTAATGAAACCTGTACCACTACAACCCATGAAGGGTCTTGGGTGCAGTACTATGTGAGGAAGTACTGTTTGAAGGCCAATGGTTGTGCAGGGAGGTGATGGGGCCGATATCACGCTCAACCGCCAGGTTTTCCCCCTTAATTATTTTTATAATTAAGAGTACCCACTTATAGAGGCTGGGTGTGCCCCAGGATTTAATAATATTAAATGCCCCAACATTTAATAGTATTAAATATTATGTAAATCATACAAGCAGATCAACCATTGAATTTTTGTATCAACAGAAACCTATAATACCAGCCTCCTTACAATTTCAGATTAGCGTAATCCAACTCTTTCCATTTAAATATTTTTAATTTCTTCTCGATTTAATTACTTTTCCCAATATATTTTACACTAAACTCTCTTAATACAGGATATATAGCCAAGAAATGAAATATATCCTCCCTCTGTTTCATATTGCAAAGCGAACAGAGTCCATTTGTATGTTCAACATATCTCCTGTAATTAAGGTATAGTAGCTCTCCTCTTACCTTAAAAATCCAACTTATATTCATTGTACTCAAATTATTATTTATATATGTTATGTGATGGTTAAGTTCTTTATAAATAATTGTTTTTTCAGAAGATCGACAATGTACATTCTGGTCCTCAACAAACTGCGTTTCAATGTTTATCAACAAATTTTGAAATTTCCTTCCAATTTGGGATATTTTTAGGTTTAGTAAATTATCTTACCTACAGTTTTTTATGGATGCGAAACGTGGCCGCTTACAGTAAGGGATGAGCAACGTCTTAAAGTTATTGCGCAGAATATTTGGACCGAAAAAGGACAAGTCAACCAGAAAATTTAGGCAGTTGCACAACACTGAATTGCGTGAATGGTATCCGGTTAATATAATTGAGGTGGTTAGGTTGAGGTGAATAAAATGGACATGTAAAATCGCTGGGCTCAGTAATGAAAGAATTCCTAAAAAATTAGTATGCACTGTACCGATTGGCAAGCGTCCGAGGAGTAGACCAAAGCAAGATTGCGTTAAGGCTGATTTGGCGGGGTTGGGTTTAGATGGAGCCATGGACATTGATTGGTGGTATCGGCATTCAGGTTCGCTAAGCCTTATATTATTATTATTTTTATATAGACCCTCAATTCAGACAATTTATAAATCAGGGCATAGTGAACTACACTATCGAATGCAGCTGAAAAATCAACAAAGAAGGCATATATTTCCTGCCCCTTACTCCTGAGTTTAGAATGGACAATGCTCATTAGAATAAACAGATTATCAATGGTCAAATAATGTTTGTGAAAACCACCTTCGAATTCTTTAAGTAAACCTTTATTTTCAATCCATTCAGACAATCTGTTTAATATTAGTCCAGCAAATATTTTAGAAATTGTGTTTTCAAAAGCAATGCTCTGATGTTTAGTAACAGAGTTAAAATCTCCTTTTTTTAAATTAATAGAAACCTCACCAATGTGAAAAATACAATTATAGCACTCTAGCAGAATGTTGTGGAATTTCTCAGGAGTATTTAAAAAAAAAAAATCATATGGAATACAGTCAATCCCAGCAGCTGTATTATTTTTTGCTTGTCCTAGCATCTTATGGAGTTCCTCTATAGAGAAAGCAGTCAGTGAAAAAGGGTTGTACATAGTGCGGCCTAGCTGCATTTAGATTTGGGTTAAAGAGCTAACAAAAGTACTGTGCCCACTCACTCATTTTAATCCCTTCGCCTGCTGTCCCTTGAATATTACTAGGCAATATGCTTCTAAACGCAGACCAAAATTCCTTAGAGTTCCTACATATCTTTATTTCATTCAAATAATACTCTCTCTTAGCATTACTGCATATTAATTTATACTTTTTATTACTTTGACTATAAACTTGTTTAGCTTTAATGTTTTACAGCCTTAAATGAATTATCTCTGGCCCTTTTACATTCATAATCAAAAATCAAAATCACAAACATTATAATAGTTATAAAAGTCAATATTTTTAAAGACTTCTTTTAAAAATTACAGAGGTTGCAATTTTTTTTTTTTAAATATTAACAAAAAATATTACTTAGTTGCATTTGGATCAACATATCCCCACGCTCCATGTTTGTTGGAAAGGATGTTACATATTTTTTCAAGTAATCTACCAGCAATAACATTATCCCGCCTTCTTGCTGCTGTAATCAAATGATCACACATTCTTTCTTCTTCCCTTCGATCCAATAATGTCTGAGCACATTGCGACTAAAAAAAGAAAAAAACATTTTAAAAATAAATAAAAATTAATATAGCTCATAACATTATAAAAACATAAATAACATTAATAACCTCAAAATCTGCATGTTTTAATACATCATCAGCTCGCATTCTATTGAGAATAAATTCAGCTTCATTAGCAACTCTAACTATATGATCTTTCATGGCATGTGATAATAACCTAATAAAGAAAAAAATATATGAAATAGGCAAATATAAATAATTATAACTACGAATAATTTTAAAATCATAAATAATTAGAGAATATTGAAAAATAACAATCTTGAAGTTTTTTTTTGGTTTTTAAATACTACTTTATTTAAATAAGTAGTTAAGATCATGGAAAAACATTAATTATGTTATAAATTGGTTAAATATTATTATTTTTAAATAATATGAAACATTTTAAAATACTGATAATATATAACAGAACCTCTATACCTAATGTACCTGGAACCAACAAGACACTGAACAAAACATTTTTTTTTTCTCAGGTACGAGATGGAGATATATATATATATATATATATATATATATATATATACATTACATAATTGAAATATTACATAAATAATAAAATTAAAAAGAAATATTCTTGCCAAATGGTCAAAATTCAACCAGAAAAGAAAAACAATATTATTTAATTTTTGTAATTTATCTGTACAAATAAAATTATCATAAAAATATTTTGTTATGGTTTTGTTTAAATTTAAATTAAAAAAAAAAAACTTGAAATATTTTAAAACACAATTTAATAACTCATAATGACCAACAAGACTGTTGAATAGCTACAAAAACATTTATCAGCAACATGCACAATGCCTTCATTTAGACATTCACACTATCCTTCGTCATTTCAAGCAATCTCATGACCATAGAGAGCTTCAATAAAATTGCTATATACAATTATGTTATAATACCTAACATCTTAAAATGATGTTGGATCAGTAAAATATTAAAAAAATCTCGTGTAGAGTGTACACACACAACTTGCACTAACCACCCTTCTTTTTTAGGAGAAATAGGTATTTCTTGACAACAGGAAGTGAAAGTAAAAATTATAGATGGTTAAAAATATTATTTAAAACATTTAATTACCATATGTTTTTCACAGCTGCCTAATGTACCATAATTATGCTTTCTTTGTCATTAACTATTTATTTTTACAACAGTATATTTTAATTATTTGTTTGATAATAATAAATAATTAAGTGCCATGAAATAATTTAAGTACAACAAGAGTGCCACAGATAAAGGTGGCCACTGTACTTATTCATATTTCATTGTAGGTATTTTTATTTGTTTTCATTGGTATATATACACATCTTAATTCTTATTTTAAACCTTTTCAAACCTTTCACCCAAGCTCGGGTTTCTTCTGTTCTCTATTACGATGCCTTATTCCTTATTATTATAATTATTTATTCCTTTAGTTAATTATAAAATTCTTTCATATTTACCCATTTTTCATTGTAGATTACAATATGAAATGATTAATTGTTTCCAATTAAAAAAATTAAAGCTACTTTAGATGAAGAAATTTAAGCTCTGTCATAGAACATTAATAAGAATAAGAACAATTTTATATTTAAAACTGCTTAATTTTACACCAATATAACAAATTTAATCAAAATCGTTAGAGCTGTTTTGGATAAAATTGTAAAAATGTGTAAAATCGATAATATAAGGTGGTACTTCCGGGCTAGCCAATTTTGACGAAAAAGACGCTACAACATGCCAGATATATACAAATATAAAATAAACATAATAATAAAAATACATAACAAAAAGGTGGTCTTCGAAAATATTGAGCTGTTTAGCATGACCTACACCCCCAAAATGTGAAAATAATGAGGTTATATAGGCCAAACGGCCTACTATTTCTGTAAACCACCTTTTTCTCGAGTTCGTGATCATATTATCTTACAATCCAAGTGAAAAGCAAATGGGTATATACCAGTTAATAGACAACCAGTGGGTATTAAATAGACAAAGTTTGCAACCTGCAGATTTAAAATGCCCCAATTCTAAGAGTTTTCATAAATAAAATAGTTGTAGGTTACGATCATATCAATCAATTCACGAAGTTTTAGGCGGATGTTAATAATTTGATAAAAAGGGATCTGTATCAGAGACTACATAATAAGATAGAGGGATATCAATATCTATTGAAGATAGTGAACAATTTTTTATCAACCCCAAATATTTTAGTCATTCAGATTTTTTACTTCATTAATATTTATCATAATAAGCAAATTAAATTACAAAATATTCTTCCACAACATTTTAGGTTCCCTATATCTTAGTTTATGTTTATGAGTGCTACTAAATAATAAATAAAATATAATACCTTCCTTCATTGATAAGCTCAATGAATGCTAAACCAGCATGCTTTTGCAAAGAATTCTGCCATTCTTGAGAGCATAGTAACATCACCAATTCAACGACTGAGTGGCTATTTTTGAATGTAATGAGACCTGTATAAATGAAGTTTAAATTTAGATATAAATGAGATAAAAATAACAAATGACACTTCAAACATATCATTTTTAAATTGTTTTTACAATCCAATTTAATATTTATAAAATACAAGGTGTGGCTATTAAATAACAAGACTTCTTCATAGGCCCTACAACCCACTAGTGAACCATGGTCTTAAAAATCAACCTCTGCTAGTAGTATCCGTTGTGTGCCACCGCCTTCCAATTCCCGGCATTATTCTGGTACTATGAGCCACTCCATTTTCTCATCGTAGCTTCAGTCTTCCAAGCCTCCATGTTCCATTTATCTTTCCTGATAGGATCTTTTTTGGGATCTCAAGGTCTAACATTACTGACACATGACCTGCCCATCGGAGCTGCCCTGCACGTATATACATACTAATGTAAGGGACATTGTATAAACCTTTATGGTTCACAATGCATCCAAGGTATTTAAAATGATTCACTTTTTCAAACGTATAATCTCCAAATTCAACTACTTCCCCTTGCCATGGGAGCTGTCCTGTGACCATATATTCAATCTTGGATGCATTTATGATTAGTACAATTTTTTTCAGCGCATTCTAGTGCCAGGAACACTCCTTCTACAGTCAAAATAATAAGAATGATGCTGTAAAATATTTTATTTTGACTTCATACACATTTATTTATTATTGCCTTCACTATACACACTTCTATCACTATGAAGCTCCGTGTGAATCTTCCATAGTTTGAAACAGTGCTGGAAGTCTTCTTCTGTCAGCTCCTTGAGGACGCATGACGCTTTCTCTTTCACAGCTTCAACAGACTCTGTCGACTTGACAGACAACTGACTAGTTACTTTTAATATAGATTGACGAATCATGGTTTTATTACTTATAATCCTGAAATGAAGCTCCAATCAATGCACTGGAAGAGCCCAACTTCAAAGAGAACCAAAAAAGCTCACATGAGAAAATCAAAATTCAAAGATGATTTTTTTTTTTTTTTTATACTTATGGGATTGTGTACCTTCACTCGGTTCCTGAAACTCAAACTCATAATCAACATTTCTACATTCACGTTCTAGCTGTAAGAGAAAGTGGAGGTAACAGAAGATGGCTTCCAGCATTTGGTTCAGACAATGGAAGATTCGCAAGGAGGGATGAGATTGTAGGGATAAAGAAAGGGTGTATACTAAAGGTTATGATAACTAAATAGGTATGAAATTAAAATAAAATGTTTTAGAGCATCAGTGTCATTATTTAATAACCATAACTTGTATTTTTCATCATATACATAAGATAAAATAAATAAAGTAATCAATAGCTGGCTCTGGAAAAGATTTTTTAAGATGAAGAAGTATCAACAGAAAAAAATATTATAATTTAGTTTCACTCAAAATAGATTAGGAGTTACCGACAGTTTCATTTAACAAAAGAACTTAGGGTTAATAACTATTTTCAATTCTAGATAACTCTTATCTGAACACACAACTTCGGAGAGTCGGTTAAACATTTTGTTTCATATTTGAAAATTTAAATTAAATTGACAAAATTTCAAGTTTCATTTAACAAAAAAAAACTGACTTCAGAAATTTTGATACACTATTTAGTATAAACAGAATTCACCTTTGCTAATAATGACCTGGTAGTGTTTTGAAAATTGACGGTATAAAACTCATCAAATTTGTCGAGTCAAATGGTAGTTGTATCTGGGATAAATCAAATATTTGGTTTCTCCATGATTCTATATGTTTTTTGGGATACTGAATCTTAAATTTGAAGTTTGCAAACGATATTTCTTCATTTTTTTTTATTGACTTCCAAATTATGAATAATATCAAAAACACCACTCTATACAAAGTTAAAGTAAATAAAATTAACCATGTATTTCAAACACATGTTTTAAATCAATAGGTGAAGAGTTAGAGCTAATTGACTATTTGCATACTTTGCAAGAATAGCTGTCTTCATTATTTTCTCCTTAATAATTCATAATTATTTTATTGTATAACTTCTTAAGTTTGTTCCATTATTTCATAAGACTCTAACTTTGTTACCGTTATCTTATATATCCTAACTTTTCTACTGCTATTACTTAAGTTAGTTATTTGTTATTGTCACTTTATACTTCCATAATTTATATACCATTTTTATCTATCTAACAAAAAAATCCAACTTCTTTCCAATTATTTACTAAAATCAACCATCTATTCACTATTATTAATAATTCAAAATCTTCACATTTCTAGAAGAAATAGATTAAATTCAATTTTAAAGAGCATTAAATTTCCTACATATCTCATGTATATATGAGAAGATAAGCAGCTGTTAAAGTGCACAGAATTGCAGGCATATTAGATTGTAGCTGCCACACTCAAGTTAAACGTTGTTCATATTTTCTACTCTTTTGACTCAGCTAATTTAACTACATTTATAATAGTACTATAACATATAAATATAGTATGATTTTTAAATATTCTGTACAAATTATACTGCAATAATTTGATGACTTTAACATCATCAATTTTAAAAACATAACCAATTGCATTGTCAGTTAATATGAATTCTCTTTTAGGGACATATACAGTAAATTGTATCAAAATTTCAGCTGTCAGTTTTCTTCTTAAATGAAATGTCAATTGCAACTTTAATTTAAATTTTCATATACAAAGGAACGGCTTTCATGCAACTGACCGGAGTTGAGTGTTCAGATGAGGGTTATCTAGAATTTTAAATGGTTACTAACTTCAAGTTAGTAGTTGAAACCATCTGTTACTGTTATTCTAAAATGAGACTGATTAGTAATCAGCAGCTGGTAGGATACACTCATAGCCTGTCCAGTCACGTCTAATCTGTCCAGTTGACATTAAAATTCAGTCAGATGGATTAAACGTGATTCACCTGGCTTTACACCCCAGGTTTAGAGAGCACCTTTAGAGTTGAACAACCCAGAAATTATTAGAATTTCTTAAATTTATTGAGCAGTAACTTAATACCATATAAAGAGAGCTTAGGAGGTGTGATCTACCAGGACATATATTTATGTACACTAAATATATTTATTCATCAATTATTAATAAATGCACTTAACACAATTTAGAAATAAACTTGACTTGGACCTCTTGGCTTTTTAACTCCTCCAATGTCTTTGTTAGAGCTTTTATTTCTCTTATCAAAGCTATAATGATTAAATTCATGGTGATTTCATGGGATGTGGTTACTCTCAACTAACAATATCAAGTCCTCAATTTTTTGACAAAAATTCCAGTTGGCTTTCCCTCTCTTCTGCACAGTTTTTTTTTAGATAAACTTACTTTGAATTAAGTTACTTATGATGTACGAACCCCCCTCAAAATACAAATGCAATTAAGAAACAAACATCCTCACACTGTGCCTAGTGAAACTTAGAAAAAACTCATCACTCAAGAAATGTAGAGCAATAAATTATATGGGTAATAACAAATCAAAAATCAACATTTTTAGTTATTTCATTGTTTCAGCCAGAAGGCTATATATTACACTATAGATATGATTATTATACCACATGACATACCTTTTCCTTCCATTAACAGCTCTTGTCCATGTGAACCAACTAATGTTTTTGATAAGAAAGGAGCAAAATCAACCATTATTTCTCTAAGAAGGGGACACACAGAGCCAAGAGCAGTTTCAAGTTTTTGAGTCAATGATGCCTCACGAGACGGAGTTGGGTTAGGAGTTGATGTTGCTGAAGGAAGAGGAAGACTTTTGATTGCTAATTCGTCAGGATGTTGACTTGAAAGTGGAATTTCATTTCCTCCAGGAACAACTACAACACTAATCTCTGAATGTGGTTTCTCACCTCGAGAAATATTTCCCTCACTATCTCTTACCAAACCTGAAATATAAAATAAATAACTTAAAAATCATTGAATATAAAATTTAAACACAAATGAAACAAAATATATAATATTAATATAACAGATGGGATAATTTTGTAAATCTAGAGTAAATTTTTATTTATTAATATTATACCGAGGGATTACAAATGCTTCCTCTCCATGACCAATGTAGATCTTTTGTTTTATACCCATCTGTTCATCTGGAGATCCCGTAGGAATCATATATTTGTTATGAAACACATAAATCCTAGCATTAGATCAAGCAGTATATTCAGGTCTAATTATAGCCGCTTTTTAGTAGCACTTTGTAGAAGGCAAGAATTTCACACAAAACAAGATCAGCCTTCACTTCATTCTCCTGACACCAACAGCATATAGAAACTTGCACCAATTTAATTTTTCTGAGATGATACTTAAGCAAATAACCATATAGAGGAGACCTATAATTATCACCATGTAGCGGAAACAGATTTCTGCTCTAGCTACAAGGAACAAGTTCGCCTTCCTGCTACCAGGCAGCGCTCTACAAGCTTGCCCATACAACATACCAAGAATTGTATCTTTTATTTCTCATTGTTGTATTATAAAATACTTAAATTGTAAATTTAAATATGCATATTCATTTTAAATACTTTTTATTAATAAAGTTCAATGGCGATAACATATACTGATCAAAGCTCAAAAATAACTGTTATTGTAACGGCTCTTGGTAGCCGGTTTAGTCTTAGTGGAATGAATCCCCCAGTCAAACCTCAACTTGTCAGATCTATGGATCTCCACCCCTTCAGGGTGTAGACCTTTAAGCAGATGGTCAGTATATGTATCATATAGGCATTTGGTTCACCTTAGTCTGCTCTTTTATTTCACAATGTCCTTTAACCTTTATCCTCTTCTTTTACTCCATGCAAGTAGGACGCTGATCCGTCCGCTTGCAGTCCTATATACTAAGTCAGAAGAATGATCCCTCTGTTAGTATCTCATCCTCCCACAAGCCTGGAGATTAATCCCTCCGGTTGTGGTTACCATCCTTGCGGAGTGTTAAGCTTGATCTCTTACACCGCAGATCGAGAGTGATTGGGTGCTGATCCGCCTGCCATTCGAGGTCATCCATCTATACACCTTCCTTCATCCAATCAGTCATCTAAACCTCTATAATGAACACACACTGTCGAGGCCTTCTGGTAACTTGCATATACTGCCTCTGCATACATATACCTTGACAACCAGCTCATATTTAGGATAGAATTTAGCCTTTTCCTTTAAAAAATAAATGAAGAATATGAATTGTTTAAACAAAGTTTTGAAGTATGCTTCATTCTTTGTTTCTCAGGATTTAATTTCTTTCCTGTTTAAACTAGAAAACCATAGCATGGCTCAGAACCTATGAGTTAAGTACTAAATAAAAATGGCTTCTTAAAAATATGTAAGACAAAAATTAATAAATAATTATTACAGACCTCTAAACTGTAAATTATGCACATTTCTATGTTCAGTATCCTCATTGAGATTAACATCAGTCCAATTTTCTTCATTGGTAACAATATTGCTGAGTTTATTATCTTCATGGATAGTATCTGCAGTAGTATTACTGTCAGCTTCACTTACTGCTAAAGAAGTTACAGAAATTACTTCATCCACAGATCCAATACTCTGTAAAATACGTTAAATTATAAATATCGATCAGATACGGAAAAGAATATTATTAAAATTCAAAATACAATAGCTGCTTCTACAAACAGTGTTTTATTTTTATAAAACACATTAAACATACATGATACAATATCATATGAGAATCGCCACAGTTTATTTCTAGATAAAAGGTCCAGTCTTCATAGTTTAAATTTAGTAAGGAAAAAGTTAGAGCTGTAAAAACACAAACTAAATAAATAAATCTTTTTTTTTCCTTCAAAAACCTATTTTTTTTTATCTACACAATAATGTTTAATTAGATACAAACACATTAAAGGCAAAACTAAAGAGATGTGATGGATGATAATCCGGAAGACTGCCAAAAATGACCGCTTAAAATAAAAAATACCTTAAATACACGACAAATAAGCAATACTAATTGAAATCTTATAAATTCTATACCATAGGTATATTACCAAAAAGGGTCAATCAATAACTTCATTAACAAATCCACTGATTGAACCATACACTATAAGTAACAAGAAATTTTATTATTTCAAAAGACTAATGAGAATTAGATTATTGGAAATCGGATAGTTATATAAAATAAGGAATCATGATAAATTAACAATGATATCAAAGTGGAAAAACTCAGGTGGATATAACAGTGAAAAGAGCTTTGCAAAGAAGGTATTATATAAAAATGGATAAAATAAAATACTCTTTAACCAGCAAGTAATATTAACAGGATGAATTTTGAGATAAAATTTTCAATGAAACATCAATAATTCATAATACATTAAAACATCAACATCAATAAATAATTATGAGGTTGCTACAAAAGTCTTTGTGCATGTATCGAACTCTTAATTCTAACTCTCACAATTAATCCTATAAGAATATTTTTCTTTCTACTATTTATGTCAATGTTTACTTTGACTAATCCTTTAATTTCTTGTGACTTGAGTTGGCTTTATGGGGTCATTTACGTTTTTAAAATGCACATGCAATGTCAGAAGAAAAAATCATGATAGGCAGACATTACTGGGAAAAAGGTCTAAGTACAATGACAACCGCTGAAGAAGTTTGTGCCATAGAAGGAGTCCGTTATCTATCAAAATACTGCAGCATGCACCATCAGATTACGGCTTGTTTTTTTTTTTAAAAGGACGGATCTTTGATAATTATGAGGACGTAAAAATTGGATGTGAAGTGTTCTTTGCCTCAAAACCAATTACTGGCAGAAAGATGGGTGAAAGTAGTTGAAAACAATAAAATTGACTTCAAAGAGTAGTATTCAATAATATTCAAAATATGTAATACAGGTACTAGAATTGTTACAGGTGGAGAACTCAGTCCGGCAAGTGGGCCTATTGGTTCTTTGCCAACCAGAGACAGTAATACCAATGATGTCTATATCACCTCCACCTCTGCCTCAAATCTTTTTGTTTTTCTGATTAAGTTCAAAAGGCACTAGGCCTTGTTTTGTGGAAGTAGTTTCTTGTTCTAGGATTTTGTCCGAACCTAGATGCCTGTATCTAAGTGACACAAATTGGTTACATTATGTGATATATTGAAAGACAATTTCTGGTGCTTACTAGCACAGATGGAAGAGTTCATCGTTAACTATCCTTCAGATCTTTACATGTCTTTAAAGTCTGCAGTAGCTGTTAGTATCCCAATGATTAGTCATATTTCCTTTTTAGTTAGGCCTAGCAGCCAGTTAATTCTAGAGATGGAAGGGTTTTCAATTAAGGGTTTGGCTTATTTCAGCCCAGTGCATCCCCTCCACTACTTACCTGCTCTTTTCCATATCCAATATCAAGGACTTCTTTTCACTGATGTTTCTTTGATATTCTTATCACAAGTTCTGGTCTCACAATAGGGATTTCAGCTCTGTTTCTTGTGAGGATGTTAGCTTTCTCATTGCCTTTATCAAAATATATAATATAAAATAAAGCTATACTTATGCACAAGGACTTTTGTAACAACCTAGTATGTGTTCAGGTGAGAAAACTTAATTGATAAACAAATAAAATTAAATATAAAAAAAAGGAAACAAATATTAATTAACCATAGGGGTGAAAGCAAATTATTGAAGTGTTTATAAATTTCTTGAGGATTCCATGTTCAGTCATAATCTTCACATTAAACATTTTTTATCTGTAGTATTATACGTTACTTAAAATTGGCATAAGACACCTTAATATAATTTCCATAATTTTTAAGTATCTCCCTAAGAATGAAAATTAGGTTGTGTGCTTTTCCTTTTTTTAAATCATGTTTGGTGGTATTTTACAATATAATCATAAGTAAGAAATATTTGGTTTTCAGGATATTAGTCATTATCTTAAGATCACAGAAAGGAGGGGCATGTTGCGATGGTTGGGGCATGTGGAAAGGATGGACCCAACAAGAATGCTGAGAAAACTTCTCTATGGCAAGCCAGGAGATGGAAGAAGGCATGGAAAGCCTTGGCTCAGATGGTTGGACAAAGTGGAAGGTAACCTGAATGAGATGGGTATAAAGCGGTGGAGGTGCTTCGCTGCTGACAGGGATAGTTGGAAGAAGAGGTTAGCAGAGGCCATGGTTCTTCAAGGAATGTGGAAACCAGCAATGAATGAATGAATCCAGGCATGCAGTACCTATTTAAAATAGTGGACTGTTTACATATAAGGATTGACCTGTTTGAACACGTCACTTTGAATTTAAAGCATTTAAGGGACTATATTGTAGCTAATGTAGGTCTGCTTCTACAGTTTATAAAGTAGAAAAATCTTCATATGAAATGAAATTTTTTTCTTTATTCAGGGACACTTAGTTCTGTAAGAATAACAATAAATGAACTATTCAAGTAACGTTTGTTTAGCTGCATTATAAGAACTTAATTAGATTATAAAATAAAAGATAAATAACTATAAAAATAAAACTTCAATATAGATATTTAGAATAGATAAATATATGCATATGTTTACAAAGTTACTAAGAAATTTATTCTTTATATCTATGCAGTAGATTCATAATTGAGGAGATGGGGAAATAAATGGTGTTTAGAGATAGAAATGTAATTGACTGTTAAATTTGTAAGGATGAAAAATGGTCATGATTTCTTTTTTGACTGCACATCCTGGCCATTTTTCATCCTTAAATGAGGTTCATGAGAATACATTGGGAACAAATGGAAATCAATAAGGAATTCAATGACACACAAAACATTGACAGAAAAAATTTATTTGTATATGTTTACGGTATTTTAAAGAATTAAATTGAGATTTTTATGAATAAATAGAATGTTACAACAATAACATAGGAAGGAAAAACCTTAATTGAAAAAAAAAGTAAATAAACTATAAACAAGCGTGAAAATACCTTGTTAGAGACATTCACTGGATGATGTCTTCCAATGAATCTCTGGTCCTCAATCTCAAATGTATGATGAGAATATGGAGAGCGCTGTATTTAAATAAAATGTTAGTGAACCAACCATCACCCAAGTCATAAAATGCTATGTTAATACTAGAATTAAATAATATGAATGATTGAATTTTAGAGTAAAAAGTGATTTTTGAGAAAATGTTAGGTTACATAATGCTTCCAAAAATTAATCACTTGAAAAATTCTTTAGAATAAAAATTGATGGTATAATTTCAAGTTAAAAATTATAACAATAAAAGTTATAGAAGCATTAATCAGAATATTAAAAAAAGTATAGCAATGTCTCATGGAAAATGATTATAAAAATTAAACATAATGGTTTAGAATATATTAATGGAAACTCAGGATATAAAATATTTTGATAGAATTTAACAATACCAAGTTTTAAAAAAAATATGAACAGAGCAGTATTATAACAAACTAACCCCTCCCGGTCCTTTCCCAACCAATATCAAAACAGTGATTGCTAAACAATGAAAAATATAATTCTTATCCACCAATATGTTAAAAATATGAAGACTCTAATGATAATAAAAGGAAAGAGACTTTAGTAAGTATATTTAGGAATCAGGCCTTTATAGTCTCACGTAATAAAATAATTCATTGTACAATTATCCAAATACTAACTAGCCAAAAATATGTACCTAAAATAGGCTATAACTCACTTGTGTATAGTGATGCCCCATCTTTCACACTTACACAAGTACACACAGAATAAGACTAATCCTTCCCAGTGTTTTTTAATAAAAATGGACCAGGGTTAACTAGTAAGTCCTCTGAGATTGTTTTTATATATTTTTCAGATGAAAATTACAAACTTTTGTAAAATCAGATAATATCCCAGAAGAGACAAAAATTTGGATAATTGTACAATAAATTATTTTATAACATGAGACTATAAAGTCCTCATTCCTACAAAGATTCTAATGTAATAGATAAATTATTAACTGATAGACTGTTTCATGATTCATGTTTTCATTTCATTTCATATTTCATGTTCAGATTCATTTTCATGTTCCATGATTTGTGATAGGCTGTTTTATCCTCTATAAAGCAAAATATACAAATAGAAGACTATCTATTTAATTATTATTATTTTTTTTTTCAGCAAAGCTAAGGCTTATTCCTTGTACAGGCTCAGTTGTCTCCTTCCTTTATTTATCAATTTCCATTAAAGTTAAAAAAATAAAAACATAAATCACAACTTTGTGTGAATTGGTTCTTATATGTTAGCAAAGAAGTTACATACATTACAATATAATAGAAAGAAATAAGAGAAGTTTAAAAAAATAAATAAAAAATAAAAAAAGATTAATTTTACAAATTAAATGATTAAGTTTATTTCATTATCATGCATAACAGTTAACAAAAGTTTCATTATTCAATCAAAGCCATGAAGAGTTAATTGCATTGATGGTGACAAAAAAATGGCTCAGTTCAGAGCAATCATCATGCACAGTGCACTAAAATAAAAATATATTTTTTACTTTCACTTATCTATACAGGGTATCCCATAAGAAGAGGGAAATTTTTATAGGAGTGATAGCAGATCTCAAGGCCTATAAAAATGTTCATATAAGCGATGAGCCGATTCTCAGCAGAAAAGTAGAAAATCAAAGTGTAGTGTTTTTTAAGTGCGTCATGTTTTTTATTAAATCAAAAGCAATAACTAAAGAAATATTTAATTTAAATAGTTAATAATTGCTTCATTGTAAACAAGATGAAATTTAATTTAAATTAATATAGAGTTTGTCATTGTTAAAGCCATTTACAGAGAAATTTTGAGCAGCTAAACTAAGCTAAGTTATGTTTTTAGAAAAATTATTCTCCATTTTTTTTATCGTCATCTAACTATACTACAGTTTCCCCAATTTTATGAAAACTCCTTCATTTAATAAACTTTAAGTTTGTAATAATTAAGTTGAGATTTATTAGAGAAAAATTTTAGATTCAGCTGAAATTTTGTAAACACATGATGATATTTTTTATCCTGTTAAGTAAAAGTACCCCAGTTTTCAGCAAAAATGACTACAAGTAATTGTTGCAAAGCTTTTATTTCTTGTTTTTCCATGATCTGGGATGTATTTTAATAAACCCAATTGCCTAAACACACATTTTATTTATAAATAAAAATTAATTTGAAAAATACTAATTTTTCAAATATTTTTTCCCGTAAATTGGTTATAAACTGTGTTTTTCACCCAAATATCTATTTTAAGAATTGATCCATATTTATAAGAGACAAACTAAATGTTTCTGACCCTAAATATCTCTTTATTTATTGCTTTCGATTCAATAAAAAAACGCTAAACTTCCTACTTTTCTGCTGAAAATTTGCCCATTGCTTATATGAACTTTTTTGTAGGCCTTGAGGTCTGCTATCACTCCTATAAAAATTTTCCTGTACTTAACGGTATACCCTGTATATGTAATATATAGGAAGGGCAATATATTGTGATAGTAGAAATTTTCTAATCTGAGTTTTCAATGGAAATACATGTTTTGAGGTCCCTTGAGTCCAAAAAATCAAGTCCCGCAAAATGGTCTCTGTGTGTGTTTTTATTTGAAATAATTAACCATTCACATTGTAAAAAGATATAAAAAATGGTTATATATAGCAAATGAAAAAAAATTATTGGTAACTAAAGGAAAAATAAGGGTTGGAAGCTGTAAGGAAACAGCCGAGAGCGCCGAACTTTCCCAATATCCTTACAGATACTCAATAACCTCTAAAGGACTTTCATATTGTTAGTTTAACTTTTATACATCACTTATTCATAACTTTCGCAAAAAAAAAAAAAAAAAAAAAAATTGCAGGCGAAATGTAGAGAATCTACTAATATAAACCTAATAATATACAATATTTACTAACCCTAAGTTATTTATTCGACAAGTTTTGTGACAAATGTTTCCAATAAAACTCAGAATTTTTCCAAAAGATCTTTCTTTTTTTTTCCACAATCATTAGTATACAGAGTTGTAAAAGGAAATGAAAAGTAATGCAAACGTATAAATTTAATAAATTTGAAGTGCATGAAAAAATGATAATCAATTGTTTTAAATGAAATTATACTGTTGTTTCACTTTGACCTCCTTATATATGAAAAAAAATATTTACTCGAGGATTGGTAAGTGAAAGTTGTGTGATGCACGCACTGCACCAGATTTTTATACTATATTATAAGTTATTTTATATAATTCCCTGTCACAGAATATCTCTTAAACTTAATTATCAATGCCATGCATGCACATACCATTGGTTAATATAGCTTTCATTTCATACTGGCTTTTTTAAAATATTTATTTTTTATAATAAAATTATGTACAGGTACATTAGAATCAGAGTTCAATATGGCCAACAAGAAATAATCACGACTTTAATTCTTGATCTCTTTCATAAAAAAATCAAAATTTTAATCGTCTGATCAAAAATGACATTGCTGGCAATTTCATAAATTCAATGAATTATTATTTTATTGATTCAAACCCAAGATAATAAAAAATAGTTACAGTTAATGGGGTTCTACAATAATAATTGGCCATAAGAAAATACTAAAAAATGATCCTTTATTTGCACAATAATAAGTATTGTTTTCATGATTAAATCAATCAAGATATTAACTATTCCTATTCCTGAGATTTTGTTATTTACTACTTGCCTAAAAAACTACTATTAAAACAATTATTCTCCTCAGTAATGGTAAACAAATAATAAAGGAAAAATTCAAATACCTTGATGGATGGTGGACCATTATTTTCATGAGGAGTTCCTGTAAGGATAGATGGGTTATTTTCCTCAACCACAATTACATCACAGTCTCCTTCAGCTAAAAAATAATAATAAAATATTTACTCATCTCCAAAACCATATAGTCCAGAAAACATAATTTTTTTTAGCTACAAAAAAATTTTGGACCCTTATTTGTATACAGATTCAAGTAAATTGTTACTATGAGATTAAGGAGAAATTAGTTTGAAAAATCAATCTTTTTTTCTCATCCATAAACTAACTAATAAAATGTGCCAAAATTGAACTGTATTTAAAATGATTAATAAATGTTAATAAATACAAACATAAATATTAACATATTATGTATTTATTTATATCTTGAAAATATTAATTGATATTATTCAGAGCATGAAATATGAAAAATATAGAAAATAAATACATCAAAATTCAAATCAATGCATTTAAAGAACATTCAAAAAATAAATAAATATGATGCTATAAAAAATATAACATCACATAATACACACAATGCATTCTTAAAAAGACACATGCATGAAATATCACATAAGAAGACACAATGCTTCAAAACTCAATCCATAAACATAAAGTTATAGGATACAATCATTGATACTTCTGTACAAAAATGAAATTTAAGAACAAAATAAAAAAAAAATAAAGAGAAAAAATTCCTTGTAGGTTGCTAATAAATTTCCTTTTCAAGCTTCAATAAAAAATTATTATATTTAAAAAAGCAGATTAATTCAACATACAGTGATGGAAAAAAGTATTTGCACATCATGTTTTTATGAATAAATGAGTTCAAGGAACCAAAAAACTTCGCTTTCCTCTGCAAAAATGAAAAGTACATTTGTCAAAAATTGAGAAATAATCAATTTAATAAATCAGACAATTAAAATTTTGATTTTTTTATGAAAGAGATCAAGAATTAAAGTCGTGATTATTTCTTGTTGGGCATATTGAACTCTGATTCTAATTATTTATTACATTTTTTTTTCAATGTCATTGAAAAGGTATTCTCTAGTCTTTTAATCAGTTTCCTTTAGTCAATAAACAATTATCATGCCAAAGACAAGTGAATTGTGTGCCGCAAATTGCGAACAAATTGTTTTAATGAGGAGTCAGCAAAAAACATATCGCCAAATTGCCGATTTCTTAGGGTTGAATTTTTCTACAGTGAGATACGTCATAAAAAGGTATGAAGAACGTGGTTCAACTGAAAACAGTGAGCCTAAAGGGCGGCCAAAAAAGTTAACTCCCAGGCTGAAGAGGAAAATCAGAAAAGAAGCTCTTAAAAATCCTCTGACAAGTTCTCGGGAGCTGACTACCATGGTCCAATCAACGTCTGGAGTTCAAATTACGAGCAGAACAATTAGATATGCCCTGAATTCGGAAGGGCTCCATGGTAGAGTAACAAGAAAGAAGCCATACTATAAGTGAAACGAATCGCAAAAAGCGCCTTACTTTTGCTAGGGAGTCAGAAACCCTTAAGCTTTTGGGAAAATGTCATCTGACAAAAGCAAATTTAATTTGTTTGGTTCAGATGGTCGAAGGACAATATGGCGACATCGTAATGAAGCCCTAAAGAAGCAAAATGTTTTAACAACTGTAAAGCATGGTGGAGGATATGTTATGGTTTGGGGGTGTGTTTCCTACCATGGCGTGGGAAATCCTGTGAGCATCGAAGGCATTTTAAATGCGGAAGGCTATGTGAACATTTTGCGACATAATTTGCGTGTTAGTGCGGAAAAAATGGGAATCCAGGATCAGTACTATTTCCAGCAGGATAACGATCCAAAACATACTGCGAGGAGAACAAAAGAGTGGTTAATATTTAATGTTCCAAGACAGCTCCACACTCCTCCTCAGTCACCAGATATAAATATCATTGAAAATTTATGGCACACCCTTGACCAAAATGTAAGAAAACACCATATCACTAGTGGATATCACCTTAAACAACTTCTTGTTCAAGAATGGGAACAAATAAACGTAGATTTAATTAAAAACCTAGTGCATTCAATGGCCTAACGCAAATGGCCTATTTACAAAATATTAAAGCTATTAAAATTTAAAATAAACTTGTAAATGTGGAAGTGTGCAAATACTTTTTTCCAAGCACTTTTATTGTTTTAATTATTTTGTTTGATTATGAAGTGTTTTTATTTTTTTGTAAAAAGGTTTTTCAGTTTTTAATAAATTTACTTTTCATTTTTGCAAAGGAAAGCAAAGTTTTTTGTTTCCTTGAACTACTTTATTCATAAAAACGTGTTGTGCAAATACTTTTTTTCCATCACTGTATCTTGACTCAAACCTCTTTTACAATAGTGGTATTTAAATACCTCTAATTTATTGGTAATATTATAATTTAATAAGTGTAAAGTTAAATTAATAAAACAGTAATTAAACATTTTATATAAGACCAAAGTCTACCCAAAAGTTGGTCGTCAAAATAAACAGTAGAAAGTAGTATGTCGCATGAATAACAAGCTCTAGAACTTATCTAATCAACTCTAGAACTTCGCTAATTAATCAATTAGCAACTCAATATCCACACGATGTCAAAAAAAAACACAAATATAGTCCACTAAAAATTCCTTTAAAAAACTATAAACAACAATAGAGCCTCCAGGGACAGTAGTATACATATTGATCATTCCTAAAGTACAGCATAAACCAGGGTTTCCCAACCTTTTTTCAGCAGCAGGCACATTTAAAGGTTATGTCTTGAGTGGCGGACATCATGTTTTTGTTCATTGTAAATTGCAGGTAGGTTACTGTTTATAAATTTAAAAAGAAAATATAAAAAGTATCAATAAAAAAATATATGTATACACGCATTGTAGCAGACATCTTTATCATATCTAAAACTAATGAAATATATTTCTACAGAAAAGGCTAAAACACCAAGTGCAATGATATTAATTTTATATAGTTTTCTTATATTAAATTAACACACTTTCTAATTAAAATTGAAAATTAATTATAAGCGACATGGTCCATAACTAGTTATAAAATGAAGAGAAGAATAGTTGGGGTGCTCAGTCAAAAAGGAAGGCAAAAAATAAATTATAATATTTATTTTTTACATATGCCGACGTTTCGACCTGAAGTTCAGGCCTTCATCAGAGCTAAGAAAATATTATTATAAGAAAAATATTATTAGTTATAAAATGAATTATTATTTTTAAATAATAATTATTATTGAATTTTATATTTAGATTTTTAAATATTCATATATTTAATAAAGGAATTGTAAACATTTGAATTGAAAATTCATCTATCTGCAGCATGCCACATAAAAAATTATGATTAAAAAAAATAAAAAATAAATTACAACTTACAAAGTGAGCATTCACACTTACAATTAATTATTAGATATTTATTAAAATAAATATTCAACATTAAATAGAAAACTCTTTGATCTAAACAGTAAAACAATGTAGTCAAGGCGATGGCTGCTAAAGGTTATGTTAGACGTAGGCGGGCACATTCACGGGCACAGTGGTACCCGTGAGCTCTGGTTGGGAACCCCTGGCATAAACCCATAATAAATATATAAATTCTTAAAACATTTTAACAGGAATATAAATAGTTTAATATATATGTCTTAGTCATTAATTTGAGAGAAGTTGAAAATCCAATTGCTTCAGTCCTTTCCCTGCCTCACTCAATGATCTGAATAATCCTCAATATATCCTTGGTTCACTGCTAAATTTTGTCATTTGAAATTTCAGCTTCATAGACATTGTCACATTTGAGATACAGTGATAAAAATTAAATTACATTAATTAGAACCAAGCCTAAATAATTTTTTTTTTGCAATTCTTTAGTTTTATTATTCTTAGGAGACAAGAGCCCAGAATATAAATTATTTTTATTTCTTGAAAAAAAATAAAATAAAAAAAAATTACATAAAGAAAAAAATGCAAAACAATAGTAATTCAACACACCCAGAAATCACCATTGGTAATAAATTACCAATTAATACATGGAATTAATTATGACAGGGTGCATACTGTACTGAAGACTAGTGTCAAATAATTTAATTTTTTTTAGATAGCATTCAACAAGAAATAATTTAAATTACAACTACAATGAGTAATACCACAAACAACTGGTCAATATAGTAGTTTAAATAAATATGATTGCAAACCAATATGCACCCAGAATACAGGCTGTTAAAGGTATGCATTATGTTATAACCACCATGCATAGATCTAATGATAATGATGAAAGGTGGGGGAATATTTTATAAATTCAACATACAACAAAAGAAAGAAAAAATAACCGTAATAAGCATTCTTTGAAAAAAAAAAAAAAAACTTAAAACAAACATCAAATCCAGTTGTTATTCAGTTAGAAAATATATAATGGAGAAAAATGAACAAAACAAAAAGAAAATGTTTCATACAAATAAAAGAATGTGAAAGTGGCAGTATATATATTTTTAAAAAATACAAATAAATTATTTGCAATCTATAATAAAGTTCCCACTGTTCCCTTAATTTAATCACAACAATATATTCAACATACATGCAAACAGTACATTCATTTACGCACACACATGCAAGGATTCACAGACCACTAAATGAACGATAAAGTAATAGACTTAACAATTCATCTTGAGTAATTTTTTTTTTTTAAATAAGCTATATTCATTCAAAAAGCAACTATCTGTAGAATATAAAGCAAGTACAACATTTCAAGAAACATTTGATGAACTAAAGGGGAAACTATACAGAAAAAAAATCCAAAAAGGATTTCAGAATAAGATAACTACATTTATCCAGCATTGGCATGACATTGAAATACCTTGACGAGGAAGAATGGGATATCTTAACACTTTGGTATTGTTGATATTGTTGTTATTATTGTTGGAGCTGCTGCAGTTATTATTGTTGTTTCTAAGAAGGGGTGCTTTGGGGTGAGTGTTAGGTAAAAACTGAGGGTAGACATGATGAGACCACTGAGGAAACAGTGGTCGTGGTCCACTGCAATCTGAATAAAAATTTAAACTACAGAATTTGAATAAGTCTGAATAACCTTACAATTTTGTTTAAGAATACTTTGCAAAAG